GGAAACATAAAAAAAAAAAAAAAAAAAAAAAAGGTCAAATAAGGCTTATAACAGTATCAAACTAATAGAAGTGGAGTATCCAAACCAATCTTTCAAAATCCTGATAAAAATCTGCATAAACTGATTTTGGCTTCCTGGTCTTGTTCTCATTTTTCCTTCTGGGACAGCACTTGTCTACGGCTTTTGCTTCGATTTTGCAGCTCAGGTGTTGACTCACTGGTGAAAGGTCTGAGAGTGTTTTGAACCAAAAGTGATGGGGGCAGAGGGGGGAAATCAGTGACAAAATCTGCTGTGATACTTGTAGTAAACTTGCAGTTTCTAACAACAGTAGTTGTTTTTCTACAAGTTCCAACCCGAACAGGTGCAATTGCCACTGAGGTCTCCATCAGACCCTGCTACACCAATAAATTAGTTTGTTTTAAAAAGTGAAAAACAGAGTTGTAATAAATGCAACATCAAATCTCAGACAATAAATAAATGCAACATCTAATCTAGGATTGGGTCATTTTAAACAGCATCCATCAGAACTATATTCATGACGCCACAACTACAGGCTGATTACATTGTAGCAATCTGAATTATAGAATACTAATTATAGTAATTTATTATTATAGACCTGAAAAAATACCTATCACAGAAGCAGCAAGAAAAATATCACAAAAGAGCACAGTGCTTCCTGCTCTTGCTTCCATCTCTTGCTTGCTGTGACAATGAGCTGGCTGCAACACTTCCCGGTTGGTACTACACCAACCTTTACCACAAAATCATGCCACTCAAACACCTGTGAAACCAAGAAAGCTACGCTACTGCAAACAAGCATTCTCCTCTTGTGAAGTCAGTTTAGCACAAGAATTTCCATAATTTAAATCACCACAGCGAAGCATAGGCTTCAGATATCCCGCTTTTGGTCTAATTCCCAATACCTAATATTTACTGTGACATACAGAAGATGGCCACCTCGTGATGCCTGTTTTAACAAGAACATCCTCCCTTTGGTTCTCCCTGTGAACAACTGAGCCACAAGCACCACAAAACGAAGAAGAAGAAAACCTCTCCGGCTCCCCCAGATCAGAAGGCAAACACTCTACAAAAGTACTTCCAGGTTCCCTTACTGACAGGTAAACCCTTGCAGCAAAGATCAATGCATCCTCTACCACGCAAACTGAGCAGCCGAAAGGTACCAGGAGGAAACATCCAAAATCCTGCTGATGAAAGAGAGCCAGTTTTGCCTGCAGCCCAGAAATACTGCACAGGCAAAGCAGATGATGGCAGGTTTTAGACCAGTTTGCAACTAAATTATAACCTCACGATTGCTGTCACTTTATAAAAAGCCCTTAGAGATATGTCATTGCCTGTACATTTATATGGGTTAAAAAAAGGGAACCAAGGGGCTGTGGCTTCAGTTCAAATGTTTACATTCATTTTTTTAAAGACAGATTAGCCATTTTCAGTACCTGAAGTACTCCAGCAGGTATCAAAGAAAACACAGGGAATTCATAGCTGCAGGGACACCATAAAGGAAGTGCTGCAGCTGCAGATCAGGAAACACTCCCCTTTTCAAATGCCCGTTAATAGTACCTGTAGAGTGCAGTGTCTGACAGAGCACCCAGGTACATGTTTCAGGAGCATTTCCTTCCCTCTGCGTATAGCAAAACTGAGAGGATCACGATTTAGAGCAAACGAACAAGAAGAAACTACATCAAAACGCAACACTGAAGATCAGATCTGTCAAACTGTAGCTGTTCAGTGTTTCCCGTGCAACACGCAGGTCTGAAGGTGATGCTGGTGTAGCAGAATGGCTACCACAGGGCTTCATGCACAGGTAAAAAGCCGCGTGATGAAGAGCCCCTCTCGTGTGCTTTATTGCTAATGGTACTCACGCCCCCATGTAACACTGTGGTAGCCCCCTCTTCTGGTTTTGGCACAAGACAGAGAGAGGAGATTATCTACATTGGACAGATGGATATCAATTACAAATGATAAAAAGTATTTTTAATTTTAGTTTGAAGAAAGCTAAGGGGACTTGCTGCTGTTTTCCCGAAGATAACTGGAAAGGTAACCTAAACTATTGAATCATTAATTGTTTTGAAATCATCTAAGCCCACTGTTAAACCTGAGCAGGCCTGGCTTGAGATCTGGAAAAAAGGCTGGGAGAAGAGACCAGGTCAAGGCTAGGTCATCTGTTTCTTCTGTACGTGGGTTTAAAAAGGAGAAACTTTTTTAAAGAGTTATAAATGGTCGGTTTGTGGTTTACCAGGTCTCAAGCCATGCCATGCATGGGCTACAGGCAGGTAAAACCCATATGATTAAACTGTAACCCAAAGCAGGGAACTGCCACAACGCTAAAACAAAAAGCAACAGCGTTCACCAACGTGTCCAAACCTCTTCCATCTGGCACAGTATCTTCTCCCTTATCTAAACAACGTGGTAAAAGCTCTGCGCTGCCTTACAGCCTCTTCAATTCTGGTGACATCCTCTCCTGAAGCACACGCCTTACCGAAGAAACGTTCCTGCTCCGGCCCTGCTCCCCTGCCCCTTCCCACACCCAAGCCATCCTGTGGAAAAGGGAACAGTTGCTCCCCTTGTGACAGCTCCTCTTCCCGCTTCGCAGCTGGAGCACACGCTCACAGTAAGGTTTGGGAGGATCCTCCAATAAACCACCGCGGGAATTCCTGACTGTCTCACTCCTTGCGCAATGCAGCTGGCGGAGGTCCTCTAAACCTCCCAAGACTCCTTGCCTGCATTCTGCGCTCTGAACGCCACTGGTTCAAAAGATGATACGGATATGTGACCCAGAGAAAAATAAATAAATAAATAAACAAGAGGACTAACTTGAAAAACTGCCTGAATGGTCTATCTGATGTTCTCTTCAAGGACCTTGATGGCAAAATAGGAACTTTGTAAGAATTCCCTTGTGAAATGGAAAGCAGTAGAGAAAAAGCCACGTGGCCAGATCCTGACCTGGTCGAAGCAGATACAACGCCGCTGTTATGAACGCATATATCTTAGGGCTTAATCACATCAGGTCTGGTTTCCCACGGCCACCCCGACTTATACGACTGCTATCTCTTTACACCTCTATCACCTCTTCCCACTGCTGCCCTCCCTAACGTTATTCTCAAGATTACCAACTTTAAAAGAAAAAAAAAAAAAAAGGCAACAAAAAAACAAAGCTTTGACTGATGACAAAACAAAATTTCCAACTTTAAAAAAAAAAAAAAAAAAAAAGGCAACAAAAACACAAGCAGTCATTGCTCACCCATTTCTTTGAATTCTTCATTGGCAAGTTGCAACCATGCTACGTCCACATCATTGAGATCGTAGCGACACACGCTGTCTGCTAACGTTCGAATGTCAACATAGCCCAGCTCTGGAGGCTCTGAACCTGATGACACAATGTACTTCCTGGGACGTGTAAACGTGACAGCTTTCGTCTCAGACACAATCCTAAAACAAACAGACAAGCAGATGTCAGGTATGCCGGGCTGCCAAGAGACTTGTGTCTAGAGAATTCAAAATGCCTCATTCAAAGTGACTAACAATCATCAGCAATCATCTAAGCAATCATCTTGCCCCACTGAGATGGGAAAACAGTACAGGGCACTTTCATAACAGATTGGCACTATTATAAGAAGTTAACTGGAGTTGTCTAGAAGCCCAACTCATTACCAGAACCCTAAATAAAATGAAAACACTAAAGGATACAGCTGTGCTTACTCTTACCTGAAATTCACACTTGTGTAAAGATAGAGTAGGAACACTGTACTTCTGTAGTGACGGCTGCCATATATGCAGATGTTAAACTCTGTTTTTAAGACTTTTTTTTAAATCAATCTGTTAAACTACAATACCAAGATCAAGAAAATTCAAGAGAAAAACTTGTATTTCCTGTTACATTTGAAGTTTTATTTCTTACAGTATGTTTCTTCTGAATTTTTGTGCGTGTGTGCATAGCTATGGGATTGCCATCTTTGTGAAATTCAAACGACCTTTCCTCAGACAATCAGCAATTTGTAATTTGCACTAGCTTCACCTTCACTTACCCAAGCAGATCCAAGCTCTGGCATCCTGCGTCTACATTTCCTCTTTCACAATCACTAATGTCATACTGGGCCAAGCACAAACATTAATCAGCCACTGCTGAAGTTACCTTCTCTCAGGTTTTGGAGGCTCCAGTTGGCCAACAGCCAACCACGAAAATGTATTTTAGCTGCAAGCCAACTGAATTTTTGTTCGACCACAGGCAGTGGTTCAGGAAATGGTAAAGTACCTACAGCATACAACTTGTTCCAGGTGAAATTCCTGCAATGTTGTAACTGTGCAAAGCCAGGAGCTGGGGGCAAAACCACCCAGTTCACAAAGGACAGCAGTCATTATACCAGCAAGCTGGTGACTTGCCTCCAAACAGCAAGCCAACTCCATCAGTCCACCTGCGGCGCGGTTCTCTCAGTAGAGGACACTGCGCCTTCTCCTAGTTAACTGCACTCTCTGAAATTCAGTTTGGATGAAACCCATTTCACGATGCAATGCTCCAGGAGTGACAGGCCACGCAGCCAAATGACCACCTCCTGCAGCACCAGTGTTGATGATTTTTTTCTGCTTTAGTGCTAGAAGGGAGGAGATAGCACCACTCCACGTAGACACAAGTTCTGCTGGGAATAGCCTAAGCATCCCAACAAGCAGGACATCCTCCACCTGATTTTGTCCCCATCTGAGGGCCAACGTGTTGATTCCTCCTCCTATCAGAAGACCCTGATCTGCCACTACTGTATCTGCACACATAGATCTCAGTAAATCCTCTACCTGTTTCAGTCTCCTGCACAGCCCTACATCTTGCCCTCACCCAGCTTATTTCAGACAGCAATTTGAGAATGGTGAGCAAGAGCCAAATGCTCAGTTTGGGGTTTCTGAGGTGCAGAAGGGGACTGTGGAACATCATGAATCTGAATGACCTTGCCAGCCTCACTGCACTGCCCAAACTGCTCCCGGTCACACTGCACAGTGTTAAAATATTATAGATTACTACTTCTCACAGAGAATTTACTTTAAACTGGGCACTGCTCTCTGAATTTGCTGTACCATAAATTCCTTCCTGAGTACCTCTCCACGTGGAAATCACCTCTGGCCAGCACCCTGCACGTGCTGTCTAAATAGTGACACAGAAGATACAGGCACAGGTAGTTTGGCTTAAAACAAACCACCTCCATCTCTATTTCTGTGACAGAAAGATGTAAAACAAAAAAAAGCAACACTTTCTACATATCAAAACCCACATTCAACTCAATTACCCACGTGACCGCATGCTTACACTGAATCACCACACAGACTCACTCCTCTCCCCACCCCGCTGCCCTGACCAGTCGCTACCAGGCCCAAACCTTTTATTCTCTATTATGTACCTCATTAGCATTTTGCTTCTGTTCTACCATTTGACTACTGCTGATTCAATTTACAGAACACCTCCCTCCCCTCCCAGAGCTAGCACCGAACAGTTCCAGCACTCCAGCACCACCACGGCAGGGCTCTCCAAGTGTTTCGTGAGGGAGTAAACAGGATAATAATCAGGCATCAGAAGGCCACTCTGACCAGCAGGTGCTCACCAGTAGGACCATACGAGATGGCTCAGCAACTGAGTAAGATTGGTGCCTCCTGTGCTGGGACCTACAACTGTGGATGCCTTCTTTCTCCATCTCCTTTAATATCTTAGATTTGGAGCAACATCTCTGTTGGCCATTGGCAGAGAAAAGCTTTTCCCTAAGAGAGTATCTGGATCTCATATAGCTACCAAACTACCTCCCTGAAAGATATGGGGTGGGGATCCCCTGGAAGGTCTCCCTCTGCTAAAGTCCATAGGTCTCCTTGCTCTTCTGCAGCCGTTGGAGATGTTTGAAAGAGAAAGCAGTGAGGAGAAGACAATGTGAGCACAGGTATACAACGTGTGTGCATTTACGCAGGGACTGGGTGAGGTCAGTATGGAGCAGGCTATGAGCACTGCAGGGAAATGGTACGCTCCCGTGCTCTAAACTGCACAGCAGAGAGGAAAATCACGTGCTCTCCTTGGAGTTCCAGGTCCAAACCTTCAGAAGGAAGGCAAGGGTTTACCTGATGTGTGGGTACGTTCCTCACTGCACAGACCAAGTGGGGCCGTGCAGCACTCTGCAGGTTGCTGCACAGAACACAAAAAGTGCTGACAAACATTCCTGTAGTCCCCCTAGTCCAAGGTTAAAGCTGACAGATGCAGACCTAACGGAAGCAGTGCAGCATCACCCAGAATTTTTTGCTGTGTGTCAGAGATTGGGCTATTCTGGCCCCACCAGCACTGGTGCGTCCTTTAGTAACGCCTCATGGCCAGCCTGGACTTACTCAAAGAGATCTAATGTCACTAACTGACAACAATCCTTGTTATTCTCACTTTCTCCAATTCCAATCCCAACTAAGCATAAAATGGATACATGGGCTACAGCCCACTCCTGCCCTTACAACTGTACTGTGTGATCTGAAACAGAAAACAGTATCTAAGCATAACAAACAAGGTAAAGAAAATAAGGGTTTCTTGCACAAGAGCTAGAAAATCTCACATTAATATATTTAGTTACAGACACATCTGGATGGTTCTTAAACCAGCTGAAATGTTGTACAACAAACAACTTCCTAAGTCAGTAAATGAAACAACCAAAAAAATAATGTGAAACCAAAATAAATGCTGTGTAATCTCTAGCCCTTAAATCTGGCTTGTCTAACTGTTCCCTGAAAGGAACCTCTGGGTTGGAACTAAGCACAAGAAACTGCAGCAGACAAGGGCTCTCCCAGCAATGCCAAGTGAGGTCAAGTCTGGGCTTAAAAATAGCAGCTATTTTTAAGGTTCTGTCATCACACTCCATCCTAACGTAATGCCAGAAATGATTATCTGACATTCGTATTTCAGCACACAGGCAGAACGGGCCCGACTCTTGACCTCTCCAACCATTCAAAAAGCTGAAGCAGGTTGCTTTTCGTCTCTGAGAACCAAGACCTTTCTAGCTACACGCTGTGGAATAAAGCTCAAGAAGCCAAGGCAACGCAGGCATAAGCTGCTAGCATAAACGTATGTGTATTTGTTTACATTCCTCCAAATTATACCTGGCTACTGGTTCTGGGATGGTCCCTGGGCTAACTGGCACCTGAACTCCCTTTTCCCACTCCTGCCTCCAGGGGTCTGCCAGCACATAGTATTCATCAGGGTTCAGCTGGAAGGAGTCATGTAACTTCATGGCAGTGATCAGGTCCGTTCTGAACACCTGCAAAGAGAGTGACCAAGAGAGAAAAATAGAGACACTGACATTTGATATTTACACTCTATGATTCACAGCTTCAGGGTAACCATGGAGCACAGCCTGTAACAAGGTCACTGTATCAGCAGTGAACTAACCCAGCCCACTGCAGGACCGAAGTTTGGCTTCATCGCAGGGAAAGGGGTGGCAGAAGGTGCAAACATCGACAGAATGACTTCCAGCCAGCTCCACTACAAATACTGGTGCTCACCCTGCACTGGAGACATGACGCTAAAAAGTGCTACACACTTTTACCTCCATTTGGGCTGCAATAAAAGCTGCAGGAATTTTGCATCTTAAAACAGCAGCACAAGGAAGACTCATTTTTGCCCCAAGTTTTTTTGTTTGTGTTTTGTTGGTTTTGGGGTTTTTTAAACTACTGAAGCTCTGACTAATCCAAAGACATTCTAGAAATTCCCTGTGGCAGAAATCAAGGCGTGACTCTACCATGACCAGCCACAAGAGGAAATTCTAAAGAGATGACTCTTTGTGCAAGTATTTAAAATAATAACCCAAAAGATAAGAAACAAAATAAGACCCAAACTGGAGTTCTGGTGGCAGCTCCATGTTCAGCACAGGTGCCTGTTATGCGACCAGTTACACACACCTCTGCATGATAGCTGTAATTTTACTCTGCCTCTGCAAAGGCATCCACCTCTAAAACGAGCAGGATGTTCGGCAGCTTTTTGGTTAGCAGCCATAAACAAGTAGCGATGCCGGCTTCAGCAAGCCACAGAACGAAATAAAAGGGGATTCACTCTTGTAGCGGGCATGCTGTGGTACTATTCTGGCAGCTTCAGCCTGGTTTGCCACTGCCTGTCGGCACTGCAGAAAGCAAAGGGTGCTATCAGAAGCATCAGGATTACAAGCCTGCACTTGTTTACATGTCTTCCAGCTCTCCCCACCCTGCTTTCCCTGTAAGGCAAGGCTGCTGTAGACTACAGCAACGGCACTCAGCACTCCTCCACAACCACAAATTTTTAACTACTCAATGTCATGTTCACAGGAAAATGTTAAAAAGCAACCAGGTGACAGAAAACAAGCACCACAAGGAAAAGGTAGGTAACATCTTAAGAAAAGTTCCCCTGCAGACTTCTCAGTCTGTGGCAGACAGAGTCAACATCCACCCAGCCCCACGTTGCAGAGCTACAAAGGAAAAGACCAATCATCAGGGCAGTGCTCCCAGATGCTCTCATGGAGCTGCTAATGGGCAAAGCGACACAACCTCCCAGTCCCCTACCCAGTCCCAGACCAGTGGTGGCACTGGCTGGTTTACATTAGCTCCAGCCAGCTGTTGCATATGGCTGAGATGGAACCAGATCTATACTGAGTGCGAATCAGGTGCCCCCCAGGACAGCTGCTTCTGTCACACGCTGTTCACACCCCCGAAATCTCAATAGATTCGCTACGATTTTTGGGAAGTATTTTAGGGAAACAGTGAACCTGATGGTTAATTATACTTCTGAGGATATTTCGAAGTGTGATTTGCCTAACCACGCTGCACATCTTGAAAACTCTCCTCTCTCCCAACACATAGATACTATCCCACTTCTGCCTCAGTATGTTTCCGTTTCCACTCTGGTTTTGTCATAAAAATAGCACAAAATCATGACATTTTTCTTAACACTTATCTTGACATGTTCAGAAAAACTGCCAATGTTAAAAAAATAAAGAATAATATTACCATATGAAGGAAAGGGTGAATGCAGGTAATGAAGTATAATGAAATGTTTTAAACAATCAAATTACAAGTCCTGTGAGGCTCCAATCAAGAAATTAAAAATAAGCCACAAAGTAAACTGGTTCACAAAACAAACAAGCACAGCTGGCCAGGGGATTCTGCACTTCGAGTGATTTGAACTAAAGCAACCAAATGTCAACTGAAGACTAAAATATAAAACGGGACAAGAAACTTGTTCAGTCTGAGAGCCAAAGTAACTCAGGCTCTCAGACAAATTTGTCACAACCTCCCTCAAAAGCAAAGCTAATGCAGCAGCTGACAGCCAAGAAACTCCTTCCCAGGCCGGTGGCCCTGTGACACCATTCTTTCTGCTCTAATTTCTGATGCAATCAGACTGCCCGGAGCAAAGCAGAGCTTACAGCACTGCTGGCTCTCAGAAGCACTGAACACTTCAAAGCTAAAGAGTGAAACCCTGGCCACGCTGAAGTCAATGGGAATCTTGCCACCAACTTCAGTGAGACCAGGATTTCACCTGGGGAGTTTAGCAAGTGTCAGTTTTCTGCCAGCACATTTATCATCAGAACAGTGTGCTGTGGCGAGCAGAGACAATGTGAATGGAGGGAGAGGGAGAGAGAGAGAAAAGACTGTGGAACAGAGCTAAGGGCAAGTGTATCAGAAGTCCATCCAGGCTGAGAAAACAAGAGAGAACAGCACAAAACTGCAAAGATTCTGACAACAAATGCAAGGAAACAGAGAGAAGAAAACAGAAGAACACAAAAAACAACAGCAAGATTCATAATTATCTCAGATTATTTCTTGATAGCCTTGCACGAGGCAGTTCTCAAAACTGGGTCTAAGGGGCTACTTCTAAGGGACGTACAAAAGATAACTAAGGAAAGCAAGACTATCACCAGCAAGAATAAATTCAGCAGTGGCCTCCACATTCACCAAAAAAAAAAAAAAAAAAAAAAACTCTTTAC